TTCTTGGTGACCCGATTGTGTGAGCACATCCAGAGCAAAGGTAGGCTGTCTCACTTAAAGCACATTACCGCATGTCTTCCTAAAAGAACAGTGACAGTTGAGCTGGACCTCATCAAGAATGTTCAGAAGCATTCAATTGTAATATATTAATTTTGTACATATCTATATTTTTAACCAGATCTCTACAGTGGGACAAATTTTGATATCTTCCATATTATTCTTGATATTATTTCTTTCTTTAAAGTCTTGTTACATGAATATTTCTATACCGAAAGAAGGTTTTGTCAAACTATGTGTAGACTAATCAGTATGCATGTTATGTGTGTGTTTCAGGCTTCGATCATGAGGGTATTTTCCGCATCAATGGAAGTGCCCGTATCGTGGAGAAGCTTCGCGCAAGTTTTGATACTCATGGAAACGCTGACCTGGAGGAGGACAATGACATCATGGCCATCGCAGGCCTGCTGAAGCTGTTCCTCCGCGAGTTCCCAGACCCTGTTATACCCTCCTCACTTACCAAGCAGTTTGTCAGCATACAGGAAGGTGTGTTCATCAAAGAGGATAGATCTGAATTATTGAATAGTGATTTAACACAGTGATAAAGGCTGAATTATCTGCCTCATAAAAGTTTGATACCCCTGGCTACTTGTAATTTGTACAAACTGTTTTCACCTAATTCTAGTATTGGAAATACATTTTAACATTATACCAGTTACTTGTTAGTTACTTAAGGCTCTTCCAGAAATAACGATATGGGAGGTGTGGAAGGCTATTTCACGGCGACCCCCACCATCCATCAAATATTGAAGGTGATTTAACCCTTTCACCCCCTAAGTAACTATAGCAGACTCTACCATACATTTACCTGGATGAGTCCATGATGGTCTACAGTACTAGTAGTGAAAGGGTTAATATTAGGAATGGTAGACAGATTTGGTTTTAGACCATCCACAGGTGCCTTCCACCTCCCCCATACAATTATTTATGGAATAGCCCTTATTATACGGTATATTATAAGTTTGTCTGTTAGTATTTAGGGGAAAATTTGAGTAAAACTGATTTAAAAATAATGGTTTATAATGAATATGTGTAACCTTATGGGACTAATCAAACCTGTGTATAACGACCACCCAGGGGAGATATCAAAACTGTCTTTACGAGACAGGTTGACAGGTTGTACTTATATTAATCACACAATGGTAGTTAAAGCCAGGTGGTGTTTAACACAGGTGTCACTTTATTCGTGTGGTCTTAAATCAATTACTCCTGTCCTTTTTACAGCTTGTATGAACGACACCTCTGCCTGCATCTACAAATTGAAGATGGCCGTCATAAACTTGCCCAAGGACAACTACAATCTTCTGAAGTACCTGACGAGTTTCCTGGTGGTGGTGGCCTCCCACGAGAGACAAAACAAGATGAGTCCCATGGCCTTGGCTATTGTGTTCGGGCCTAATCTATTTAAGTAGGTACCATAGGTCGTAACAATACACAATGTTAGTAATTTGATGAGTTGTATATAGCGTAATAATTAGGGATGTCACATTACGCTTGGAGTGTACGTATCACGATATATTGCAATACCCTGATGTATTGTCATAGGAAAAAGGTGCTCTATATAAAAAGAAAATGTTGTCACAATTTGATTTAATTGAATCGTATATGGATCACAGATTTAAGATCATACAGATTTAAGATTTTTGTTAAACCAACCATCGATTATGAAATTTCAATTAACAGATTCCCACCACTAGTTATAGCCTGTTTATGGTTATTAGCCTATCTGTTAGAAGGTGTAATAATTTGCAAAAATGGAATACTTGGCAGATACATAAAAATAAGCTTTTGAAAAATATTGCAAGACAGCGATATTTCATCTCTGTATTTTGATAAGATACAATATGCCTGTGTATTGAGATATAACAGTCTATGATATTATATTGTCATAGCCCTAGTCATAATAGTATGGCATAGTACAGAAGCATAGTCAACTTACTATGATGTCATAGTATAGTAAAGTATCCTTGTCAACTTACTGTCCAATGTCATAGTACAGAATTTGTGTCAACTTATTGTCATAAGTCAAAATGTGAAATCATACTCAACTTCAGGTCATAAGCTATAGCACACAATTTAGGCAAGTTACTATCATGTCATAGCTAATTATCCTATGAAATATAGTACAGAACCAAGTCAGCTGAATGTCATATATCATAGCATTGAATCCAAGTCAGCTGAATGTCATATGTCATAGCACAGGATCCTAGTCAACTGAATGT